TCAGTAACATTGGAAGCTGATCCTCAGTTATAATGGCATGTATGGTAGAAAGAGGTAGCTAGGGCCATAGAAGAACAAAATAGGGCTAGAAGTATTAATATTTCCCAAGATCAATTGCTAGGTGAAGGCCAGTCTGAATCACAAAGACAATTTGAATTTGATGACCACATCTTGGTGCTGTGTCAGTTAGCATCCTTAAATGTTTGGACAAGGTTAAAGAACCAGAAAAGAGTTCTGAGTCATTTACTAAAGTTATACAAGGCCCAAAAGAAGTTTTCACTGATTTTTGTTGGTTTGTTTGTTTAGTTTTGTTTTGTTTTATCAAGACAGGGTTTCTCTGTGTAGCTTTGTGCCTTTCCTATAACACACTCTGTAGCCCAGGCTGGACTCGAACTCACAGAGATCCACCTGGCTCTGCCTCCTGAGTGCTGGGATTGAAGGCATACACCATCACTGCCCAGCACCTTCACTGATTTTTTTTTTTTTTTACAAAGATTGACCCCAGCTGTCAGACAAATATTAATTGAATACTTGACTTTTGAAAATGATAATTCTGAATACAAAAAGGTGATCAGACCTCTAAAGGCAATATTGGCACCAATAGATGAATGGATTTAGAAATACGGCTGATATTGGATCTCATACTTATGATGCAACATTTAAAAAAAAAGATTTTATTTATTTCATCTATATGGGTGCTCCATCTTCATGTACTCCTTTATTCCAGAAGAGGGTGTTAGTACCCACTACAGATGGTTGTGAGCCACCATGCAGTTGCTGGGAATTGAACTCAGGACTTTTGGAAGAGGAGACAGTGCTCTTAACCACTGAGCAATCTCTCCAGCCCTATGATGCAACTTTAATAGGAGAAATAATTGATAAAGGTTTTAAGAAAAGACAAACTGTCAAATGTCTTGACTTTGGCAAGCAAAGTGATTTCAATCTGGATTGTAGGCAAGGCATTCCTAGAAACATCTTACAGGTATACCACACAAACCTACAGAACAAGCAGTTATAGAAAGATCTAATCGACTCTGAAAGATATGTTTAATAAACAGAAAGTGGTAATAATGACACCCAGAGATAGACTGCACAATGCTTTATTAACTTTAAATTTTCTAAATGCTAATGAGAAAGGAATGACAGCTGCAGAGAGACATTGGACAATAGAAAAAAACTGCTGAATTAAATCAGTCTGTATACTTTAAAGATGTATTGACCTCAGAATGGAAACCAGGATACGTGTTACATTGGTGAAGAGGTTTTGCTTTTGTTTTCACAGGAGAAGAAAGGTTATGGATACCATCAAAATTGATAAGGATTAGATTCGAACAAGAGAGACTTCTTGATTTGAAGAGGTGATAGTTCATCAAACAGCATGACCATTCAATCTAAACTACTTATAAGACTAACAAATCCTTTTCATTTTGTCAGATATAACTTGCAAAAGTGAAACTCCCCAAAGTAAGGTTTGTGCAGGGTTTTGTTTTTGTCTTTCAAGGAGAATGAAGGCATCCAACTAAGGAATCTGAAGACCACTGGACAAATGAGACATCTGAAGAAAAGGGACAAATCATCCAGAATGTCCCAAGAAAAAGAGTAAATTGGCCTATTGATATATCATATTTCCAACAGGATAGAATTTCATAAATCTTCCCAAATGTTTGTTTCTGCTG